GTTCCATCATATGGCAGTTCTTTTTTTTTGGAGCGGTTTTCGCTATAGGGCGCGTGCACTCGCCAGACAGAGAGACAGAAAGCGAGAAATCACCCCCCAGGGGGGATGGTCACGTGCAATCCCTTCTCCTCCATTCTCCTCTTGGGATCTTGGGCACGCACACACACGCGCCCGGCGTGAGTTTTAAGCCACCGGGTCCGGGATGCGAACCATGGTCGACTATGTGGGAGTCCAGTGACATGGCCATTACGCTAACTGCTGGTTCCCCATCATAGGGCAGTTCTGATGACTGATTTAAAACAGTTAATATATAATGCACTTATAATAATGTCTAACCTGTAAGAATGCTCAATAAATGCCAGATTTTAAAATTATCATCTCTCAAGTTTAGTTTTTAGATGAAACGTGCATTATAAAAATGCCTTAAGACTTTTCATCAACTGGAATACATATCAGCAATGAAAGTTGAACTTGATTTCATGGCAGAGACTTTTTATAAGGTGACAAATATTTTATCTGTAAATGAAACTTTCAAAACAAGTTTGCCTCAAAGCAAAGTTATATTTCGTTTTGGTAAGTCAACAAAACATAGTTTGTTTCCCTAGTTTTGGGGTTGAACTTTAAAAAAAAGTCAACTTTACTGAGATATAACTTACTTAGAACACAATGCACCTATTTAAAGCATAGTTTGACATGTACATACTTGGTAATCTCTACCAATCAAGACATGAGCACATTGATCATGTTTCAAAGTACCTTCATACCCTTTAACAGCTGCAGGGGCTCAGGACATACCACTTAAAAATACAACTGTAGGAGACCAGACTATGCCATGCTAGAATATTTATCTTTGGCACACTTTGAGCTGGTTATTCTGAGAAACTTTAGACACAGAAGCACCTCTGAAAAGCTGTCCTTTTGTAAAAGAAATTTACATCTACAAAAGTTAGTAAAATATCAGTAAGAGGGCTATTCACAGATAGTCTCTCAGGTGGTAAAAGCTATCTGTATAACAAGACAACCTTTATTTACCATACAATTCCTTTCCTTTCCATACCATCCACCACAGCCACTCTCTGTATAACAAGACCTTTATTTACCATACAATTCCTTTCCCCTCCATACCCCAGCCACTCTCTCCTTTCCTTTCCATATAACTCACGATGCTATATGAGCTTCCATCATTTGGCCTTTTTCAAGTCTCTGATTTCGTAGGGCCCTCATGAGTACATATATAAAAAGTTTTTCTCTTGCTAATTTAATTCATAACCCAGCCAAGGAACCAAGAAGGGTGAAGGGAAGCCATTTTTCATTCTCGCACATAGTCAAATATTTCCCTCACCTCCAGCAGACAATGGCTGATCTCTTCTATACTAGTTCTAAACGTGGTATAACAGGAATTACTGAAAATTCAAAACTATTTTCATAATAAAAATAAAATGCTATTTGCTCTTTTCATTTTCATTCTTTCATGAGGGTACAGTGAAGTTTTTCAGAGGTGGCTAAATGATGATATATGAAACTATAACAGACTGTAGAAGTAGATATGAGCATCTGGCTGTCTATTAAGCCAGATATTAGAGATCTGTAAAAATGCAAAATAACTATACTCTTCCACTGAAAAATTTTTTTGGGGGGGGAGAGGTTTTTGCTATAGGGCGCGCGCACTTGCCAGAAAGAGAGAGACAGAGAGACAGAAAGTAAGAAATCACCCCCCAGGGGGGGCGGCCACACTGCCATCCCTTCTCCATTTTCTTCTCAGGATCCTGGGCATGCACACACACGGGCCCAGCATGAGTATAAGCCACTGGGTCCGGGACTCGAACCGTGGTTGACTACATGGGAGTTCAGCGACATAGCCATTATGCTAACTGCTGGTCCCCTCACTGAAATTTTTTTAAAAAATGTTTTCAAAGTTAAGAACATGTTATTTATATTATTGTGTGATGAGTTTATTGTTATTATAAACTAAATTTACAGGAACCAGCAGTTAGCATAATGGCTATGCTGCTGGACTCACATGTAGTTGACTGCAGTTCGAGTCCCGGTCCTGGTGGCTTAAAACTCATGCTAAGCGCATGTGCGTGTGTGCCCAAAGATCCCCAGAGGAGAATGGAGGAGAAGGGATTGTCGCATGGCCATTCCCCGTGGGGGGTGATTTCTCGCTTTCCGTCTCTGTCTCTCTCTGTCTGTCTGGTGAACGCACGCACCCTATGGCAAAAACCTCTCCAAAAAAAAAAGTTAAGTACATGTTATTTATGTTATTGTGTTGTGGGTTTATTGTTATTATAAACTGAATTTACACACATTTAAAAATTTTCTCAGTTTTAATTTCTAATATGGCTAGTATTAATAGATACAGCTTATAAAACAAAAGCTCTTTGAAGTATCATTAATTTTTTTGTTTTTTTGTGTACTCATTAATCCTTAAGAATATAAAAATGTTAAGGCTAAAATGCTGGGTTATAAGATAGGCTCCTTATTTTAAAATGTTGATTATAACATACCTGAAAGTTAGGTGCATAATTTTCTATCAACTACTTACTTATAATAATGAAATTGTAGTCTAAAGGTATATGTATCTGGTACTAGCATCTAAGGATATATAACCTAAAATTTTAGCCATTTAAAGTGGGAAAACTACAATATAACTTTCTTTTGAAAGGGACCATGTCATCTAATTTTTTTATTCCTTGAGGGCATCAATTCATGGCTATTAAATCCCATCACTGAAATTAATAAAAAATATGATTACCTTTTACCAAATACAGAGACTTTTCTTTCAGATGTGGGTCTGTTTATATTCAACTTTCCAAAGGTCGGTTTCTCTTTGCTTTAAGAAAAAATAGAAAAATGACCTTTTAAGATAAATACAAAAAATATTAGTTCAAGAAACATTTGAAAAAATGTTGGAAAAAAATCTTTTCCCCATTAGTTAAAATATAATTCAAAATCATGAAAAAATTTTTTTTTAATTGCTAGAGGATGTGTGTGTTCACCAGAGAGACAGAAAAGCAGAAAGAGAAAGAGGGAGAAAGCATCTTCTAATGGGGCATGGTCATACCACAATCCCTTCTCCTCCATTTCTCCAACCCTGTGGAGTTCTGGACATACATGTTCATGCTCCTGGCATGTTTTTCAAAGCTGTAGGTCTGAGATTTGAATCAGGTACTGGAGCCAGTCTGAAAACCATGAAAAATTTCCACAGCAATCATGGCTGTTTATAAATGAGACGGGCTAAAACATAGTGCCAATGCCAGAACATCAAAAGCAGACAATCTTTTGGTGTAAATAGTGTGCAACAATACAAGACTTTTCCTATTTAAAAAGTATTCAGAAGGAAAAAACATGTATTTCAAATTTCTAAAAGTGGTAGGAATTCACACTCCTTTCTTCTAAAGGAATTAACAGTCCTTTGAGGAGGTGCCTGGTAAAGCACCTGGTTTTGGGAATTTAAAAATTAAATGTGATGGCATCAATATCTGGTATCATGCCTCCTTTAAGACTTCACTGATCCAATTAGGTTACTAGGAGCAGATAGGATATATCAAGACATTCTTTCACTACATTTTTATAGTAACGATTTTTGTGATTTCTTTGCCCAAAACATGTGCAAGTAAGAACCCTTACAGGTAGAGATACTTACGTTTGAGGGGTATGGAGACCTTGTTTATTTAAGTCCTGGGATCGTAAATCCTGCATAGACAGGCGGCCAGCACCACCAGTGGAAACTGAACTGCGCTTCATGCTTCTGACCTACATTTATAAATTCAGTATTAAAAAATCTTTACAGACATAGATGGGACACGAAGCATCAACTATTATCTTTATCTTCAAACAGAAAGGCAGCCAAGTTTCATTATTTCTTCAAGAAATCTTTCTGCTAGCTTATCTTCATTCATGTATCCTGAAGTCGTCACGTGCAGAAAACATCTATTTTCCTTCTTTATACATAATAGAATGTGTGCATGCATGAGAGAGAGAAGCACTCTTCACAAGGTCTGGTCATGCTGTGACCCCATGCTTCATCCAACTTGTTGGATCTTGGGTATTCCCAGCACATTTTGGGCTCACTGGCCCATTGACTCAAATCCACAGTGTCCACGTAGGATCTAAGCTTTTCTTGACTCAAATCCACAGTGTCCACGTAGGATCTAGGCTTTTCTTGACTCAAATCCAGCGTCCACATAGGATCTAAGCTTTTCTTGATTCAAATCCAGTGTCCACGTAGGCTCTAAGCTTTTCTTGACTCAAATCCACAGTGTCTACATAGGATCTAGGCTTTTCTTAAACAGCCCATTACCACTGCACCAGAGTTGGCCCATGGAACATCTATTTAACTTCATTTTTAAAATATTTAATACGAATTAAACATTTACTAAATGCCCACCACGCACAAAGGAAGTGTGCTAGGCAATGCAGAAGGAAGAAAGATGAGTAAGAGATAGTTTCAGCCTTCACAAGAATATCTAAAGCCCTGAATTTCTATCCAGACTATATCACTTCTGTTAGCTGTCAATCAGAGGTAGTCTGATAAGTTCTGCAAGTTCTCTTATTCACTTCAAAATGTTTCCTATTCTTTGGTCTCACAACATGGACCTAGTCTGTTTTCTTTTCCTAAAGCCAATCACTTCTGTCCTACCCTTAACCCACTTTAGACAAATATAATACAAATTCCCGGGTTATATTTAATTACTGTCCTTTTGGCTTCAAGCTCTTGTTCAACAAGGATAAATTATGGTTCACAAAATGGTCTACAGGCTGCTCTATTTTCAAACTACATTAACATCTCATTTTTAAAATTTTATTTAAAAATTTTTATATACATTCAATCATATTGTTTAGCTTACAAAGTGAACATTTCAATATGTGAACATTTCTCCCCATTCCAATTGATCAAAATATCTTCAACCTATAACACCACACCTCCCCATCCCATTCTGCCTCCAAATGTCCTTCCTTAGGCCCCACTCCTCCACAAAAAAGATTGTCTCCTAAGATACTCACAACTGACAATTATTTTGATTAAACACTATCCAGCCAGCCTTCTCTAATTCTGCCCTGGCATTCAGGAAAGTGGCTACCTGTGTTATGTTTTTTACTTCTCTGAGGACTCTAGTAATGTTTACACTGATTACTCTTTCTTGGTTTTGGCCACTTATTTCTCGTCCTCAACTTATATTTGTTCATCTTTTCACTTTTTCAGTTCTCACCTATAAGTCCATCCCGATGTATTCTCAAGATTAAAGACGACTTCCAGAGGTAATCCTTACTCAGCCACTAAAATGCTGCAACACAAGCCAAACAGTCCTTCCCCTCCCGCCCGCTTCAGTTCTTCCCCCTTTCCAGCCTTTACTCCTCCCATCGGTGTCCACCTAGGACCACCTCCCTCCTTCGCACTTGAGAAATCGTGGCCAGCAGAAACTTAACGGACTTCGTAAAACTAATGCTTCGCATTAAGTCTACCCACAAAGGCTTTTCACAACAGCAAACACTGAAAACATTGTCCCTCAACGCCTCGAGATTTAAGTCGCTGGCGCCACCACGTTCTCACGTCCAGAGCGGTCCTGCAATAATAGTTAACTCAATGTCATCATTCACCTTTTTTCCAGTTTCCCGACACGATCCAGGGACCGAATTTCTGTAAACCGTGCAAACTGCCAGGTAGATTCACTGTCACCCCGCCAAAACACCAATTCTTTCCTCCGCCTACCAGGGCCCTAGCAATTTGAAAATATCCGCTGGTGCGGACGTCATCACGCACGACGTGCTCACGCGTGCGCAGCTCTCACGCACTGCTTCACGTCGCTGGAACCCTGTGTGATTTTCGCGCCCTGCCACCTCGACGAGTACGCTGGCGTCTTCTGGGCTGGTGTAAGGTCCCCTGCGAAGTCTGGCCCGGCCCCTATAGTTAGCTCTGCAGACCCGACGGCTCTGCGTCGCCGACAAGCGACTCGAACGATCCAAGTCGCTCTCGAAACGTTTTTCCGTACAGCAACATGGCGGCGCCCATTGGGGTCTTAGAAACACATTTTTCCTTATCTTGAAAGAGGCGTCTTTTGCGACTTCCGTTTACATGGATGTTGTTTTCTTGACAAGAGTATGAAAGGCGGCCTATGCTCTCTGACGAGGCAAGCGATTCGGGAGGAGCTAGTGTCCCCTTCAAGGATAGCGGTGTGGCCCCCGCCGCAAGATTTTGGATTTGGGATTTGACTGCTAGCCAGTCTCACGGTCCTCTAGTGGTCGGTGGTCTTCGCGAAGCAAGGAAGAACACGGGTGGCTACGGAGTGGATGTGAATCAGAGGGGCAGGGGAGGAGCGCATTAAATGCAGTAGAGTCGTTTCCTGAGCTAGGACCTCTCTGCTTCCCTGAGTTCGGTCCCAGAGACTGGCACTGCCCACTACCTGGAGAGTGAGTGATAGGGGTGAAAGAAGAGGTCAGAGCGAACATCCCAGTACCTGACCTCTGTGCCATTGACTGGCTTTCTTATCCGACTTCCAGTTTTTCTATATACATTTCTAGCTCTCTGTTGTTATTAAGAAGACTCCTCACTTCATGTGGTGTGACCAAGGATCACCATCACCCATTATAGCAATTAGCATTTATTTCAGCAGTCTAAGTATCAGGCACTGTGCACAACGTGTCATGTGGGCTATCTCATTTTATTCTCTAAACTGCCCCCTTAAGATAGTGTAAAAGTAATGACTCTGAGGATCAGTGAGATCAAATAACTTGTCCATGGTCATACTGCTACTACATGGAATTAGAAATTTGCACCTAACTGCTACTATTATTGATTGTGCTATTAACCATTTTTTAAACAAATTTTGGTCTCTCTTAAGCTTTCCACCACACTAGATTTAGAAAGCAATACCCAGAACCGTAGGCCTTTTGAAAAATGATAAGGAAGCTCTGAAAAACTTGATTATTGGAAGACTATGCACACAATCACTTACACATCCAGACCCCTAAGCTTTCAATATTGCTAGGGCTTGGTGGTTGTGATATGCTGTTTAAAAGGCATTTGATGGCTGCTGTGTGGGCTATGGTTAAGGGAGTCCGATTTCACATGAGGGAAGACTACCTTGCATTTAGAATCCCAGCCTGCGAGTTGGAAAACACTTCTGGTATGCCCTAGATCCTAACTGGATGGGGAAATGGAGAAGGGATTGTGGCGTGACTGTGTGCCATTGGAGGATGCTTTCTCCCTCTCTCTCTCTGACCAGCGCAGGTATTCTCTGCTGGGTGGAGGTGAGGGGGCTGGGATTGCATTTGCTCTGAGTATACCAGTCTTCTGATCTTATTATTCCATTGGTAACAGTGATTAAGTAGGATGGTGGTACTAGAGAATGCGCTGACTTAATTGTGGCAAATATAGTTTGAAAAAAACAAGGGCTGACCTTCTAACAACTCTTTCTGAAAGTCTGTCACCCTTTCTAGGTAGGCTTAATTCATTATGAAAGATGAATTCACATAGTAATATGTTTTTGATTTCACAGGACACTTTCACCATTAAAGGATTTAATGATTTACTTACTTGGAAGATGACCTAGTGGTTAGATCCAAGGACCAAAGCAGGAAGATAGGAGGAGGGTCAAATTGGGATTTCAGATACTATGAGATTTTACCTGTCTTTGGTCCCATTAACTGAAAGTTTTGAATGATCGTCTCTGACATTACAAGAAGTTTATATGAAAACATTGAATTTTCTCTTAGTACTGCTGCTTGTTCTGACATTATGAACATAAATTTTCATCTGTATGTGTGTTCAGTGGATATGCTTGCATACCAGATCAACTGTGGTTATGAAGTATTTGTTTACTGAAATAAGAATTTAATTGAGGAAGTTGAATTTTACTACTAATTTCTGATTCCCAGACTTTTTCAAGGAAGAGAATGTCCGTGGTACACCAGTTGTCACCTGGGTGGTTACTGGATCATCTTTCTTTTATTAACAAGATAAACTATGAGCTTCACCAGCATCATGAGCTTTGTTGCAGTAAAAATGAGCCCAGTTCTTCTATCCAGTTTGATTCTCTTCAAATAAATTGTGTGTCATCTTTTGGAGCCTCTACTACATTTATTGCATCCGACTCTACCACTAAGGCAGAGAATGATGAAGGAGGAAATTATGAAACATTTACACAGAAGTATGTTTTTCGATCTGACCTGTTTGATGTCACCAAGCCTTATATACTTCCACCTGTCCGCAAAGAATGCCAACAAAATAATGAAAAAGAAGATTTAATGAGTGGTATTAACGAAGAAATCTCTACATCTATTGTTGGGAAGGTAGAAAGTTTTAAGAAATAGTTTTCCTCAGGAAATTTAAGTTTATCATTGTAGTATCTCAAGTATCTTGTGGTTTTTATAAAGAAGAATCAATACAGGATAAAAGGCTTTAGTATATCCAAAGTAATTTTTAACTCTTAACATTCTACCATTCTCGGTACCAGCGGCTGGCATAATTATGTTGCTGGACACCCACATAATTGCAATTCAGGTCCCAGATCTGGTGGCTTACAACTCACGCCAGGCATGTGTGCGTTTGTGCCCATGATCCTGAGAGGAGAATGGAGGAGAAGGGATTGCAGTGTGGCCATCCCCCCCAGGGGGGCATTTCTCTTTCTGCATCTCTGTCTCTCCGGCGAGTACATGCACCCGATAGCAAAAACAAAACAAAACAAACTCTCTCAAAAAAAAAAAATTCTACCATTCTTAGAAGATCAACTTGCATATTTTAAAAGTAAACAAATTCGGCTCTGAAGTGAATGTTCTATAAATTAAAGTCGAACAACAAAAATCATTTTCTGTGTAGTAACTTGTATCAATTGAACACTTTTTCACCTGCTTTTGCTTAAAAAAAATGTTTCTCTGCAATATTTCAAAGCAGTAAGTGAATTTTGGGAGACTTTTTAGAGCTCTATCTCATGAAGATATAGAAGTTTGGAAGAAGTAATATTTTTTAAAAGTGATAAAAAATGCTGCTATATAGATTGCATATGTTTATGAAGTGTAGATATTTGTATACACACACTGGTGTGGTCTTTTACTGCAGGTTTGAGGATGCTATATAGAAATTAAAAGGGCAAAGAACCAGCAGTTAGTGTAATGGCTATGTCGCTGGGCTCCCATGTAGTTGACCGCGGTTTGCGTCCCGGACCCGGTGGCTTAAAACTCACGTCAGGTGTGTGTGCGTGCATGCCCAAGATCCCAAGAGGAGAATGGAGGAGAAGGGATTGTGGCGTGACCATCCCCCTGGGGGGTGATTTCTCACTTTTTGTCTCTCTGTCTCTCTCTGTCTGGCGAGCGCACGTGCCCTATAGCGAGAAACCTCTCCAAAAACAAAAAAAAGAAATTAACTATGCTTTAATACTTTCTGTATCTTTGAGGCGCTCCAAGGTGATTATACAAAGTCTATTTCAGATAGATTATATCAGCATTTTCTTTGTTAATGATGAGAATAACATTTATTATTCTCCTGACAAATGTTTGAACTCTGTTTGCTATTGAACATGGAGTACTGGAACAATATAATATAATCACAATCCCTGCCTTTGTGATGCTTATAATTATGTGAAGAAAAACGATACTAAAAAGAAAGCATATTGAGAATTAGAATAAAGAAACTGGTAGAGATAATTATACTTGTTATAGGTTCTGAAGTATATATTTTTATATTTGTGCCACTTTTTTGGTCTATATTTTTTCTTTAAAATATTTATGGTCATCTACTATATGTCATGTATAGAAAAGAAAATGTGTTATCTGAGATTTCAATAAAATAGGATGGAGGTATTATATCATTTCTATTGCTAATTAGGACAAATAACAAGCATTTGTGAAGAATTTTGTAGTTTATAGAGCATGGACAATAATTTTTTTTTTTTAATAGAGATTTTTGCTGTTGGGCGTGTGTGTTTGCTAGAGAGACATAGAGAGACAGACAGAAAGTGAGAAATCAACCTCCAGGGAGGATGGCCATGCTGCAATTCTTTCTCCTCTATTATCTTAGGATTTTGGACATGTACACACATGTGCCTGGAGTGAGTTTTAAGCTGCCAGGTCCAGGACTAGAACTGTGGCTGACTACATGGGAATCCAATGATGAACCATTATGCCATCTACTAGTCCCTGAACATTAAGTTTTAATGCGTATTCTCATGTTGGTGAAATGCTTCATTTTATATAGATAAACATATGTAATGAATGTTATCTTGATGAAACTTATTTTTGACATGCTATCAATAAATTATAGTTAGCCTAATCTTAAATCTAATTAGACATTCAGCCCACAATAATTTATTGTTAGTCTACTAGGAGTTGGCACCACATTAGTACTGGGGTTTTAGCAATAAGACTTTTTACAAAGTCTGTGCTCTATATTGCATGGTCTTACATGTTCTTTTTATAGAGTTGTTAGATATATTACAGTATTATGTCAGATTTATACCTAACCCTCAGATCAGTCATAAAGAGCGTAGTTCCTTTATATTCCATAGGTGCCAATGCTATACGTTATCATGTAGAGCTAGTTCTTATTAGTAAGGCTAAGGCAACCTTTCATCACTTTTTTGGCTTTGTTATTTTTTTTTACTTTGAGACAAAATTACCACACTTACTTGTTTGTTTTGTTTTGTTTTTGAGAGGTTTTTGCTATAGGGCGCGTGCACTCACCAGACAGACAGAGACATAGAGACAGAAAGTGAGAAATCACCCCCCAGGGGAGATGGTCACGCTGCAATCCCTTCTCCTCCATTCTCCTCTCGGGATCTTGGGCACGCACGCACACACGCCTGGCGTGAGTTTTAAGCCACCGGGTCCAGGACGTGAACCGCGGTCGACTACGTGGGAGTCCAGCGACATAGCCATTATGCTAACTGCTGGTTCCCTCCACACTTACTTCTTCAGTCTATATCTTTTGCATTGATTTTGACCTCACTAGACAGTTATTAACTCCTGAAGATTGAGATATGCAATATGAAATGTGTAATAAAGGAAAAATAAATATTAATGTATTTTAAAATATCAATGTAGTGATAACCAGCAACATAATCTTTTTCCTATCTTTTATCTTTTAGAAGCGTAAAAGATGTGTTGATTTCAATCAAGGTGAATTGGACGCTATGGAATACCATGCAAAGGTAGGTATAAACAACAAACACTCTATATCCATGGATAACAGTTAAGATTAGTGTGAAATAGCACATAAGGATGTCTTAAAAAACCAAGCAGTTATTTTGATCAAGGTTAGAATTTAAGAGATTTTAAATCACCACCAACTGGTGGTGTGTTAGTTAAGGCTGCTGGATCCCACATGGCTTACTGCACTGTTTTGAATCCTGGACCCGGTGGCTTGAGAAATGCTTGGTATGTGTACATGCATGCCCAAATTTTGAGAGGAGAATGGAGGAGATGGAATTGTGGTATGGCATTCCTATCAAGGGGAGCTTTCTCATTTTTCCCTCCTCTCTGTCTCTCTCTAGTGAGCACATATGCCCCATAGCAAGTTAAAACAATAAGTGATTTATTCTTACTTTTATAGTAATAAACAGTTTAAGCCAGTTTTCATTGAAACTTCAAATACTTCCATTTGTTTAAATATTTAATGTAAGTAAACTTACATATTGTTTGTGTTGCTTTTAGTAGGCATACTTTCTTGACAGCTTTATCTATTTTTTTTTTTTTTTGCTAAAAGAAATCAATACAGTTTTTATTCTCTGACTGCTGTAGCAGCAGCCCATAGAATCTAATACATTGTGTTCTGTCATAAAGAGATGTTTTTTAGTAACAAAATCAGGTTCTTTAACAGATAATGAGAATTTTCAAGGTTTTTCTGTTTCTCGTCATGTTAATTTTGGCAGGGTAAACTTTCCAAGAAATGTGTCTATTTCATTCAAGTTCTCAGATTTGATAGCATGAGAAAACATTTTCTTACTATGTTTTTAATATCTGTAGGAGATGTGGTGATTAATTTTTTATTCCTGGTATTGATGATTTATGCTGATTTAAATGGGTAAAAAAATACACACTCTCACACACACACACACATATATATATATAAAACAAAATTTAGCATTTTGCCATTTTTTACTTGGACACTTCAGTGGTACTCATCACAATATTGTGCTGTTGGACAAGCATACTAGTGCAGTGTTATAGGTAGGAGCCAGATTCCACATGGTTGACCACAGTTTGAGTCCTGATCCTGGTATCTTTTCATGGGCACATGTGTGTGCATGTCCAAAAATCCTATGGGACATTGAAATAGAGAAGAGAATACAGCATGATCATGCTAAGGAATCCCAACTTTTATCCTAGGGGCAGACTTTATTAATGTGGATAGCATACAAATATGCCCTCTGCTTTGGAGGGATATACTATTCCATCTTCAATGCAGTACAGTATCCCTGGAAATTTATTTTGGAACAAAAGCTATCAGTGGCTCAGACAAACACATAATGAATTGCCTTCCACTTGCCCTGTGAATCATGAGGTTTTCCAGTTGAGTGGTAGAAATAGGTAATAACTTTTTGCCCTGTGGAAGCACCAGTCACTGTTTTTTCTAACCTTCAAATTACCTTTGTTTATTTTCTCAGCTGCTATGGCTTGTATGTCCCCTCCAAATATGTGTTCAGGTTTGGCTGTAATTGATGAAGAGGGTAAAAATCAGACTGAGACGTTGAAAAGTAGTGCGAGAAGGAACATGACCACTGCCTCACAGAGCCTGTTGCTAGTGCCTCTGCAGCCCACAGGCACCTGGGCTGTGGTCCTTACACAGAAAGGAGTTAGGTAGGACTGACAAAGTACAAGAAAAAGTCAGCAGGAACTTCTTGTTCACATACTTTCTACCTGGAAATGTAAAGAGTCAATTGCTTGAAGCTGGTGAGTCTTTGGAGGACCTCCAACCATCCTCCCTTCTGGAGGAGAAAATTGCTGCGACATACACAATAGGGAAACAGGACTCGGAGTGGGAATGATGGTGGCTTGGAAAAAACAGAGATACACAAATAGAGAGAGGCGTAGGTGTCGCTGATGGAGATAGCCATGGCCCTGAGCCTCTTTTGGCGGGCAAAGAGGAAAGAAGAAGTGGAAGGTAAAGCCAGGTGTTTTCTACCATTTACTGAAGCTGTGGGAACATCTTGCAGTTCTTGTGGTTCTAAACAAACCTTCCTTGGCCTTCTCTGGTTGAAACATAGTTTCCTTTAACCTCTGCTGGTTGTGCAACATAGATCCAAGAGAGAGTCTGTGCCTTTGCTTGTCTTGCATGTCTTTAAAGGTCACCATTGTTCTCAGATTCAGCCACTCCCTACATCTCCCCCTGTTTCGTTCCTAATGTGAATCTGTGGAGCTGGCTAGTTGTTGCATGGTGTTCTGGTCGGATGATTCTGCAGACTAGTAGGTGTACAAACATAAGATTATTGACACAACAATTCTCAAAAAATACCATAAAGAGTTGTGAACCAAGTTCAAAGAGTTAGTGCCCTTGAGTTGATCTAAAAATGCAGCTGGCTAAATCTGAGGGATTGAGTGAGGGCAGGAAACTATTTGATAGTTCTATGATTTGTTAGTGAAGATCTTTCCTATTTAAATAAATACTGATAGAAGACCATACCCAAGAAGGTGGTTCTGCATTGATGTTCAGTTCCAGAAGATGTCATTATATGGCAAAAGCATCACAGAGCTATGTTGATACAAAGCCTGACTTCTTAACTGACTTTCTAGTTGTATTTTGAACACTGTTCCTCCAAACCATCTACCTTTGCAGCTCTGCAGAAGGGTGGACAGCAATCCATTTGTCAATATCTAATTAGGTGCCTATCATATAGGAAGTATTACGGGCAAGAGCATTAAATTTGGCTTTGTGAGTTGTTGGGTCAAAACAACTGAAGTAACCAGGCAGGCATTTAAAGTAATTGTAGTAAGGAAAAATAACTTTTGTTTGCTAGCGTTTTTGCCTCATTTTTTACAGCACACTAGCCCCAGACATTTCTTCTTATTAAACCAGAGTTCTTAATGGGATACATCAGAAATTATTTATTCATGTAGTTTTTTTTTTTTTTTTTAGAGGTTTTTGCTATAGGGCGCGTGCACTCGCCAGACAGACAGAGAGAGACAGAGAGACAGAAAGCGAGAAATCGCCCCCCAGGGGGGATGGCCACGCTGCAATCCCTTCTCCTCCATTCTCCTCTCTGGATCTTGGGCACGCACGCACATGCATCCAGCGTGAGTTTTAAGCCACCGGGTCTGGGACGCGAACCACGGTCGGCTACGTGGGAGTCCAGCAACATAGCCATTACTCTAACTGCTGGTCCCTATTCATGTAGTTTTGTAAATGATTTTTATTTTTATCCCACAATTCCCCCTTTTTAAAATTGTTTGAGTAGGGGTTGGACAGTTTTCAGAAAGTCGAAGGTAAGCAGTAAAGGCAGCCTTTTGTTGTGGAAGTTGTTTAGAGAGGTGGCAGAGACAACTGAATGTTAGGACTAAACAATGAAAAATTAAAATACCTATAGTAGTAATTGATTACATTTGTAAGTGAATGCCTTGGAACCAGGTGGAAGTATTAAACCATTAGAAGTTATTTAGAGTGTTTGAAGGGTAGAGATTTGAGTTTTCTTTTGGATATAGTAAAGTTGCTGACAGAAACTTTTACAACTGGACACAATTTAAAACCCTAGATGTCTTTCCCTCTGTCTGTCCTGCAGTGTAAGGCTCTCTGGAGGGATGTTAAGTGAGGAGAAGATCTTTCTCCCTTAGCACTGTCTGTTACGTGGTCAAGTTTTAATTGGGGGACAGTAAGCCACACCAGGGAGTGTGAGGCCAAAGGGCCATGACTCTCTTCTTTGTTTTTGTCTTTAGTTACAGACTATGGTTTTCGAGGTAATAGGGTGGTAGTATATCCCTCCAGGGTGTTTTATAGTCAAGTTACCAGGCCAGCTCCCAGTTTTCCCAAAAGATTCTTGCCTCAAACACTCCTTTATTAAATTCTACAAGGAAAAGGCAAAAATGAGAATCCTATCTGATCTCTCTGCTGTATAGTGCTCCCTAGTTTGTTTTCCGGCCTTGTTCTAAATCTTCTCATTTATGATTCCCTGTTCCTCTCTGCCTTCCTGGACTACCTAGCCAGCAATCCAAGTGGTTCTGAGGACTTGCTTCACCTCCAGGTTTCATCATTTCCAGACTATACAAGCCCTGCTGTGATCTGGAAGATATGACTGGCTTCCAGTCCCTCCTGAACCACTTTGCCAGAGACACACTTGGACTTAGGGTTGTTCTCCTTCTGCACTCCCTCACCCTGAAATTACAGAATCTACTCAATGTTAAGAAGAAGTACGTACTCAACCAAATGCCTAAAACTCAATGCAGACATAAAAGAAATACCAAAAAAAAAAAAAAAAAAAAAGAGAGAGAGAGAAAAGAACTCTCAACTCTCTCCCCTAAAGGAGCACAATAGCTTCTCACCAACAATGGATATATACAGGAAATCAGAGACATGTCAGAAAGGACTTTAAATATTCATCAGAACAAAATTCAGTGAGATGTAAGGCAAAATGGACTGGCAGTTCCAAGAGATGAGAAAAATTATTTCATGACATGAAGGAGGGATTCCTAAAAAGGTAGACACCCTAGGACAAGATTTAAACAAATTATTGGAGGTGAAAAATACAGTACAGGCAATGAAAATGTATCTCAAAGGTATTAAAAAAGATTAGGCCATAAAGAAGAAAGAATTTCTGACCTGGAAGACAAAACCCTCTGATTTAGCCAAATTAGCCATAAATAACCATTAAAAATGAGTACAATGTATGGGACGTTCTAGACACCTTTAAGCAACTGAATAGATCTGGACTCCCATATGGTCAACTGCGGTTTGATTCCCAGACCTGGTGGCTTGCACTCTTTCTTTCACTCTCACTGGTCAAATTAAGACTAATAATAATAAATGAAATAAAATAATTCTTGAAAAAAAAAACTACTGAAGAAATTGACTGAAATTTCAAGTTCATTGAAAACAATGATAACACATGACTCTCCAGAATCTTTTGGGCATAGAGAAAGCAATTCTAAGAGGAAAGTTTATAGCAATTAGTACACATACACACAGAGAAAAAGATGGCAAGGGACAAGCAGATGGTGTAAT